GGGTTGTGGTTTGGATTTCCCCCTGGCGTTCCACCCCTCGTTGAACAACGCCCGCCTCCGCGCCCTCCTTGGGCCCGCGCTGCCCTGCGATAAGCACGGGACCGAAGGCCGAGAGCTCGCCGTGCACCCCCCCGCGCCCCCTCGCTTCCCACGAACGGCGTTTTGCCGGCGTGGGCCGAACAACCGGCTCATCCCCCCGAGGGAGACGGCCGCCGCGCCGGCCCAGCGCGCAGCCTGGCTGCTCCTGCACGTGCTCGTCCTCCGTCCCGCCGCGGCCGGCACCGCTCTGCCCAGGGCAGGCTTCCAGCCGAAAACGAGGGGCTCGGCTCCTCTGGGGCTGAGCGTGCCGACCCCGTGGCCCCGGCACATCAGGGCACCGGGGAGAGATGAGCACCAGAGGTGTCGTCGCTCCATTTATCTGAGGATGCCGAGGGAAGAAAGGCACGGCGCTCGGCAGCAGCCCCCGCGGGGAGGGATCAGGGTCAGCCTCAGCCGAGGGGCTGCGGGCAAAGCCTGCACAGAGAAGGAGGTGGGATGGGAAAGGGAACGTTATCGCCTCCTGGCCCAGCCTGAATCCTTCCTCTCCACCTCAGGGCTGAAAACAAGTGAGAACAACCCTCCACACTTCATAACTGGGTTTTTTTTTAAAAAAGCAAAACCCAAGAGCACATGAGAACTACAGCGAACTGTGATTCTTCTTCATCCCACCAGACTCTTCCCGGGGGGTTAGTAAAGATGCTGATGACTCAGTGAAGAGAGGTACATTCATTAGTTTTCCGTGCCAGAAAGTTGGAAAATCTGTGTATGCGTTTTAGTCCAGAAAAAGGGCAGAGTGTAGAACAAAAAAAAATTAAAATATAGTTGAAGAGAACCAAACCAGGGTATTTCCAGAGGGACTGATCCTCCGAGGACAGGGACGAGCGGTCACTGAACCTGCGCCCGAAAAGCCAGGCTGCGTCTGGGATGGGCCAACCGGGTGTGAACGGGAGAGAGAAAAACGTGATTTACCAGGAGCATCATCACGGGCTGTGAGCAACACCCCCGGGAAAAGCCCCCTAGGGAAAGGCAAAGGCTGCCTTGCTTTGGGAAGGCGGGTGCCCAGCGCCTGCCACCCAGGGCTCCCGCCCGCGGGGACGCCGATCGGGGCCGCCGC